CCGTAAACCAAGATGGACTTTGATCAAACGTCGTTCTTCTTTCTTTCATTCTTCTTTGCGTAGTACTAACGTGTTGCCTTTTTCCTTTTCAGACCGTCATTGGTGACGTCATTGGTGACCTCATTGACGACATCATTGACGACCTCAATGACGACCTCATTGACGACCTCATTGGCGACCTCATTGACGACATCATTGGCGACCTCATTGGCGACCTCATTGACGACATCATTGACGACCTCATTGGCGACCTCATTGACGACATCATTGGCGACCTCATTGACGACATCATTGACGACATCATTGGCGACCTCATTGACGACATCATTGGCGACATCATTGGCGACCTCATTGACGACCTCATTGGCGACCTCATTGACGACCATCTCACAAGATAGCGAGAGGAGCTGCATTGCGAGAGGGTACGCCGAGCTGCATTCAAGCATTCAAGGTCGCCTCGCCTCCCTTCGCCAATGACGGACTTGTCGCCAATACGTAAATCACTTCAGACTGTTTGCTTCAAGCAAACTCGGTTTTTCTTTTTTTTACAAGTACTAATATGCTGCCATCTTTTTTTTCCAGATCTCGGCGGCCTTCTTGGCGACAGTCATGACGATCGTCTTGCCGACCGTCATGACTCGGAAGCTCCGTCAATGACGCAGTCACGATCGTCGCCACGCTCGCCGTCGCAGTCACGATCGTCGCCACGCTCGCCGTCGCAGTCACGATCGCCGTCGCAGTCACGATCGCCGTCGCTGTCGCCGTTGCTCCTGACGCTCACCGTTGACTCGAAAGCTCCTACACAGTCAATGGCGCAGTCACGATCGCCGTCGCCGTCACGCTCGCCGTCGCCGTTGCTCCTGACGACGAAGCTGGCAGCAGTCATGGCGACCGTCGCCAATGACGGGCTTGTCGCCAATGGTTGGGGTACGTAGATCTCTTCCAAGTGTTGCTTCTAGTAACTTCGGTTTTTTTTTTTTAGCAAGTACTAATATGCTGCCTTCTTTTTTCAGATCTCAGCGGCCTTCTTGGCGACACTCATGGCGACTGTCATGACTCGAAAGCTCCTACCGCTCCTACCGTCATGACTCGAAAGCTCCTACCGTCATGACTCGAAGGCTCCTACCGTCATGACTCGAAAGCTCAATGACGCAACGACGCAGTCACGATCGCCGTCGCCGTTGCTCCGCCAAGACAAGTCCCCCCGCTGGAACGCTGCTGCCGACAAGTCCCGTCGCTGCCGCTCGTCTCCGTCATGCTCGCCGTCGCTGCCGCTCGTCTCCGCCAAGACAAGTCGTCACTGGTAAGCTCGTCGCTGTACTTTTCCAATCGCTTTTCTTTCCCGTTTTCTGAGGCGCAGTACTAACCTGATTCCGTTTTCTGATGCAGACCTTTTGGCGGCCGAAGCTGGCCGAAGCTGGCCAAGTCAATGACGCCACGTCCCGCTGACTCCAAACGCCAAGTCAATGACGCCAAGTCCCGCTGACTTCGAACGTCAAGTCAATGACGCCAAGTCCCGCTGACTTCAAACGCCAAGTCAATGACGCCAAGTCCCGCTGACTTCAAACGCCAAGACAATGACGCCAAGTCCCGCTGACTTCAAACGCCAAGTCAATGACGCTAAGTCCCGCTGACTTCAAACGCCAAGTCAATGACGCCAAGTCCCGCTGACTTCAAACGCCAAGTCAATGACGCCAAGTCCCGCTGACGGCCTCTCCCGTCGCTGCCGCTCCGCCAAGACAAGTCGTCACTGGTAAGCACTTTGGTGATTCTCTCCTTTGAAGCCTCGCTTGTCTTTGGCGGCTTCGCTTCGTTCCGTGTTCGCTTCGCTAACGTGTTCGTTTCTTCCTTCCTGCAGAACCTGACCACAAAGACGCGGATGGCGAAACGCGGTGACGCGTGGCGACGTATGGCGAAGGACGAAGCGCGTCTCACGGCGGTTCGCTACCGTGACCGCGCCACTGACCGTCACTGCGCTGCTATGGTGCATTCCTTCCTTCGTTTCCTTCGTTCGTTTCCTTCAAGGTTTTCGGTTCTAATGTTGTTGCTGTCTTCCTGCAGAGCGCACGAACGACTTACGGCGGCGCGTAGCACGGGCGGACATGACGGGCGGCGCGTCTCACGGGCGGATGGCGCGTCTCGCGGGCGGATGCCGCGTCTCACGGGCGGATGCCGCGTCTCACGGGCGGACGGCGCGTCTCGCCGGCGCGTGGTCGTATTTTCTCGTTTTTGTATTTGTTTGCTTCGTTTTCCTCGTTATTCCTCGTTGTTTTCTCGTTTTTCTCTCTGCCATGGTATCATGATGGGTTGAGTCGCCATGTGAGCAGGTTGTTAGCTTAACGAGGATTCTGCGGGCGTTTCGCGGGCGGACGGCGCGTCTACCGAGGCGCTTGGCGGCGCTTCCATTTCCTTTTCCTCGTTTCTGTTATGTTCGTTCCGTTTTCTTGCAATTTCTCTCTCTGGTTCTGTATTTCTCTATGCCGCGATATCATGACGTGTGGCAACGCCATGTGAGCAGGCTCGCAGATCTTAGGCAAGAAGAAAGCTTCACACGAGGAGTCTGCGGGGTTGTGCGAGCGGGGTTGGGGCAGGGCGGCAGCGGAGAGGGAGGGTAGCCCCAGCCCGATCTCTCCGCTCCCCCTCCCGCTCCACTGCCCCTTCCGGCACTGCACCGATCGACTATCTTCACCGACTTCCGGCACTGCACCGACTATCTTCACCGAATTCCGGTACTGCACCGACTATCTTCACCGACTTCCGGCACTGCACTCCCTTGGTAATATGTCATTCCGGTTTCTTGCTTTGGTTTTTTTCCAGATTCTGACTTGTTCGTGCGTGATCTCCTTTAGCGCAGGAGCAGCAAGAGTGGGAGCCATGGCGCTGGTGGCGCGACGGGAGAGCGAGTTCAACTTCAAGCCTCACGTGGTACACTGTCAATTCCGGTTTACCTTTGTTTTCTTTTTCAGATTCTCACTTCGTGCTTCGTGCTTGTTTTGTGCTCTCCGTTTTAGTGCAGCTCGCTGCGTGGAAGCGGCAGGAGCTCACGGCGCTGCCAGCAACGACTCATCCACGTGGTACGCTGTCAGTTCCAGTTTCCTTGTATTTTTCTTCCCGGATTCTAACTTCGTGCTTCGTGCTTTGGGTAAGTTAGTGCAGCTCACGGCGTGGAAGCGGGAGCAGGAGCTGACGGCGCTAGCTGCAACGACTCATCTTACGTGGTACGCTGTCAATTCCAGTTCCCTTGTATTTTTCTTCCCAGATTCTAACTTCGTGCTTCGTGCTTTGTATTAGTGCAGCTCACGACGTGGAAGCGGGAGCTGACGGCGCTAGCTGCAACGACTCATCTTACGTGGTACGCTGTCAATTCCGGTTTCCTTGTATTTTTTTCTACTGGATTCTAACTTGTTCTTCTGTGCTCTGTGTCAGTTAGAGAGGACAACGGCGGGAGAGCGGGAGCCAACGGCGGGGACGACACGACGGTGCTGGCGGGGACAACGGCGCTGGCGGCGAGGAGGGAGGTCCAAGCTGCGTGGAGCGTCGTCCGCGGAATTTTGACCCCCCCCCCTCCCCTCCCCATCCCCCTCCCCTTTGCAGATTCGGGTTTGGGTGGGTTTGGGTGGGTGTAGTTAGGCCGCGCGCGCGGGGGGTGGGGTTGGTTGGGGTCAGGTATTTTTGTACAGGTGCGATTTCCGTGCCTCTTTGGGCAACTCTTCTGACAACCTGGCATCTCTTCAACCGAGGAGCTGAGGTGTTTCCCGCCGCTACAGTAATAATTTTAACCTTCCCCTTCCTTTTTGAAATTTTCAAATGTCCCTCCCTCTCCCAAACAGATCCCGCACGAATGACCTCCACCTCAACGCGGTGTGCGGGTGTAACGCTAGAGGCATTTGCCTCTAGCGGCCAAGAGGGGTCAAGAAGAACCAAGATCAAGGAAGACTCTCAAGACCCAAGCTGAAGCCTCAAGCTCAAGAACCAAGCTGCTGTGGATGGAGCGACTGAAGCAGTTTAGCAGCTTTGCATGCTAGTTATTTAGTATTCTATTACAACTTGTTTGTTTGTAATTAATAGACTTAATTAGTTGGCTTTACGAGCAGTCTGCTCTGATAGTAGACTCTATTAGTTTTATGTTTCTGTACTAATATGCATCTGGTTCTCCATGGAAAGAACGAGATAAGACTTTTGCTAGCAGGACTTCGCCGTGACTATGACTAGCTAAGATCACGCGTTAACTTTAGTCGCCGTTAACTATGGTGTTCTTAAAGGAGACACGCCGTATATTGTTAAAGGAAGGATCCCTATCAGTTTGTTCATTCGCATCGCGCTTCGCCTCCCTATGTTCGAATTATTCTTCCCCTTTCGCGCTTAGCCAGATCGCCACGAGAGGATCCATATCGTCGCGCGTAGTCCCATCGCGCTTCGACCCATCGCGCTTCGCCTCGTCGCCGTCCGCCGAAAGCTCGTCAGATTTATCATCTCCTGGCCTGATTCCTATTTTACCCTCTATCTTACCCGACATCGGCGCTTCGATTCGCGTTTACTCTTCTAGACACCTTTCCGCCTCTATATTCCTTTCCGCCTCGACCGATGGTGACCGCAAAGCTTCTGCTTCCACGTGTCAGATAGCCGCTCCATCCACGTGTGAGATCAGCCCCGTGCGACCGGCTGAAGCGCGCCATGACCCCAATCGCGAATCTCTAGCCGGCTGCGGAAGACCTACTGCTTTAGTTGAGTCCCCCTTAAATGCGGATTCGCCATCAGCAGCAAATGCTGCTTCGCTTTCCAGAAGCGCGCCGAGTAGACTCGATAATGATCTCCAGCGTTGGACAGAATATCAGAATTCCAGTAGCTGCCGCGGGAACAGAAGGATTCAGCATCACGAAGACCGCCGTTACATTCACTCCGTACAAGGTCACACTCTCTCCAACCGTCACCCTACAGTCCATCAAATTACAACAAATTCAGCACGATTCTTCCATAAATGCCACCGTATCCCTAACCTAATGTCACGTTATGACTTTACCTCACGCAAGCACGTGTCTCATAAAGAGTCGCCTCAAGACTCTGTAGCGGGTACAGCGCGGAAGCTACACATTCACCACCATAAGCCTGGGAAGATGTCGTTCTACGACATGACGGTGGAGAAATACGCTGCGCTGCCGCTTAACACCTTGACACTTCGCCAGATGCTGGCTCAGGGGGAGGAGGCGCTTAGAGACCCTACTTTCATGGTGCGCAATGCACGGTGGGTGCTTAGCTAAGTGGGTGAATGAATCTGTGCTGGTTAGTCTCTAAGTAATTCGGTAGCTACTCCTATTCTCAATTGTTAGGGTTTCGTGTTGTTACTTTCCCTTATGGCAGTACATGTTTCATTATGTGAGTTTACATACCTGGTTGGCTCTGTGTGTCTTTGTTTGTTTGTTTTTCGTTCTCTCGTTTCTCTAACGAATAAGTGTTTCGATGTCTCTCCCTACCCCATTCATCCACTCCCCCAGATTCGTTCATAAAGAGATGCCTATAAGGCTGGCGAAACGGCTCATGGATCTTCAGTTCTTACCCCACATAGTCGTCATCAACCCCCACATCAAGCAGGTAGGGCTGGCTCCGAATTGTGGTCCCTGTAGATCTACAGTGTACAGTGCATGGTAAGTAGCATTCTTGTCATTGTGGCGAAGCGGCTGAAGGATCTTCAGTTCTTACCCCACATAGTCGTCATCAACCCCCACATCAAGCAGGTAGATTTTGCCGTGTATGCATGGTAGCTGTGGGTCTACAGTAGTTTATAATACTACGCTTATCACTTTGGCAAGATGGCTGATGGACCTGCATTTCTTACCCCACATCGTCGTCATCAACCCCCACATCAAGCAGGTAGGCCTGTGGCTGTATGTATTGTCGCTGTAGATCTACAGTCTACAGTGCATGGTATTGACATGCTCACAGCGTTCGTTCGTCCTTCAGTCTCACTGCACATGCATGTGATGCTCCCATTCCACCCATGTTCATCCCCTTTTCACGCATGCTGCAGGTGTATGGTTCCTATCGCCAAGCCTTCGACTTGCTCACTACGTTCCTATTGAGCCTCACTCACTACGCATGCATATGCATGCGCGTTTGCAGGTTTCCCACTCTTATGCAAGTGGGTGCACCCACCCACATTCTCCTCGCACCCACATTCTGCTCCCACCCACATTCTGTTCCCCCATCCCATCTGCAAGTGTATGACTCCTACCGCCAGGTCATCCGCATGCTCACTGCGTTCCAATTGCGTTTCACTGAATATGCATGTGATGCTCCCATTCCACCCGTACCCATCCCTTGATTCGCACGCAGGTGTATGACTCCTACCGCCAGGCCTTTGACATGCTCACTGCGTTCCTCTGGAGTCTCGTTGTGCATGCATCATGCATGTTATGTGATGTTTCCATTCCACCCATGTTCATCCCTTTTTACGTATGCAGGTGTACGACTCCTACCGCCAGGCTTTTGACATGCTCACAGCATTTCCGGAGATCAAGACTCTCGAAGACAATGTGAAGTTCACTCAGATGCTTACCATGGTGCGTGCTGCTGTACTTGTAATGGGCCAGCCTATAGCGGGTACACCACATTCCATCGTGGACATGCTCACAGCATTTCCAGAGATCAAGACTCTCGAAGACAATGTGAAGTTCACTCAGATGCTCACCATGGTGCGTGAAGGGGCAGTCCATAGCGGGTATGAAGTCTTCTCTTTGCGTTCTGTGTTTCCAGAAAAGGAATAATGCTGAGTGTGGGAGAGTTCCCCTTAGGATGTCACACGTACACATACACACACCCCTCTCCACCGCTCTCCACCCCACTTAACCATCATCCATCCCCTTGTGTGTCTCAGCTGGTGGACGATCGCTCGCCGCTGCTGGGGTGCTGGCACGGGGGGTGAGGGAGTGCTCCCCTTAGGCTAACACATGCACGGCACGCACACCCTTCTCCACCCCTCTCCACCCCACCCAACCACCAGATCTACCCGTGTGTGTCTCAGCTGTTGGACGACCACACGTGTATCCTGGGAGTGCTGGCACAGGGGGTGAGGGAGTGCTCCCCTTAGGCTAACACATGCACGCACCCCTCTCCACCCCTCTCCACCCCACCCAACCACCATCCATCCCCTTGTGTGTTGTGTGTGTGACTCAGCTGGTGGACGACCATACTCCTCTGCTGGGAGTGCTGGCACGGGGAGAGAGGGAGTGCTCCCCTTTAGGCTGGCACACGTACACGCAACCCCCCTCAACCCCTCTCCACCACACCCAACCACCACCCAAATCCCCTTTTTTGTGTCTCAGCTGGTGGACGACCATACGCCACTCCTCGGGGTGCTGGCACGGGGGGTGAGGGAGTGCTCCACTCAAGCTGTCACATATGTACACACCCCTCTCCACCCCTCTCCACCCCTCCATGCATGTACCTCAGCTGGTGGACGACCATACGCCTCTCCTCGGGGTGCTGGCGCGGGGGGTGAGGGAGTGCGCTCTGCGGCCGCTAGTGGGGAGGGAGCTCGACCTGGACCCCTTCCTGGACAACATGTGAGTGGCTGTGTGTGGCTAAGTAAGTGACTGTGAGTGACTGCTTCCTTATGTGTGCGCTGGTGGTGCTGCTGGGAGTGTTGGCACGGGGGGTGAGGGAGTGCGCTCTGCGGCCGCTAGTAGGGAGGGAGCGCGACCTGGACCCCTTCCTGGACAACATGTGAGTGGCTGTGTGCGACTGAGTGGGTCACTGCTGTGGTGTGAGTTTGCTCACACAAGGGGAAAGAGTCAATGAGTGTGCTCCCTGCGGCCACTAGTAGGAGTATTTTTGAGTCACTGTGTGTATGATTCTCTCAGTGACACCTTTCTTGTGTTTGTACTGGGAATGCTGCCCTGAGTGCTCTCTCTGACCGCTAGTGGGGAGTGGCTATAGTTTCATTACATAGCATCACAGTAACTATCATATCACCCACACATGATTTTTTAGAATTCTCAAAAAACACGCTCTGCAACACATGATTTTTGAGAAATCGCAAAAAACACGCTCTGCAACACATGATTTTTGAGAATTCTAAAAAAACACGCTCTGCAACACATGATTTTTGAGAATTCTCAAAAAACATGCTCTGCAACACATGATTTTTGAGAATTCTCAAAAAACACGCTCTGCAACACATGATTTTTTAGAATTCTCAAAAAACACGCTATAGTTTCATTACATAGCATCACAGTAACTATCATATCACCCACACGCTCTGCAACACATGATTTTGCACCCCTTCGTCATCACCCCGCGTGTGTGGCTGCGATCGCAGATCAGCCGGAGGGTCATCGCAGAGCATCACATCACATTCACTCACACATGCTTCCTGAACCAGCCCTCACCCTCTTCCACCACTCCACTTACCCTTGCCCATTTGTATCACAGGCTGCGATCTCGAATCAGCCGCAGGGTCATCGCGGAGCATCACATCATAAACACTCACAGGATTCCTCACCCCTAACCACCTCAACCCCCTTTCCACCACTCCATTTCCCGTTGCCCATCTGTATCACAGGCTGCGATCTTGAATCGGCCGCAGGGTCATCGCATGTAACTCCTCACCCCCATACCCTCCTATTGAGTATATAGACTTCTCGCATACACATTCTATTCCCTCTCCTCTCCCCATTCCACAGGCTGCGATCTTGAATCAGCGGCAGGGTCATCGCAGAGCATCACATGATCACATGATTCCTCACTCACACATGATCACTCACCCCTCACCCGCCTTACACCACTCCACTCACAGGCTATGGTGAGGAGGCTATGGTTGCAGGCTATGATCTCGAATCAGTCGCAGGGTAGTTGCAGAGCATTGAGGTGTATTTTGAGGCGCCTCAAAAGAGGTGTATTTTGAGGCGCCTCAAAAGTCACGAATCACGAATCAGTTGCAGGGTAGTTGCAGAGTATCACATCACTCACACATGTTTCCTCAACCACCCCTCACCCCTTTTCCATCACTCCACCACTTTCCCCCCCTATCACAGGCTGCAATCGCGGATCAGCCGTAGGGTCATTGCGGAGCATCACATCGTATTCACTCACACATGCTTCCTCACCCCTCACCCTTTTTCCGTCCCTCCACTGCCCCCCCCTGATCACAGGCTGCGGTCGCTAATCAGCCGCAGAGTCATCGCATCGCAGAGCACATCAAAGTCTCTCACACATGCTTCCTCACCCCGCACCCGTTTTCCATCCCTCCACTTCCCCCGCCTAATCACAGGCTGCGATCGCGAATTAGCCGCAGGGTCATCGCAGAGCATCACATCTGCCTGCAGCATCAACGGCCAGGATTCATTGGCGTCATCTGTTCCCAGGTGCGTTTCATCTTTCCCCAGGTGCATCTCATCTGGATCCAGGAGTGCGTTTCATCTGGACCCAGGCGCGTTTTAACTGGCCCCCATCCAATTCCTTTTTGTAGCAGCAAGAGTCAAGCAGTGCCGCAGTGCCCCCCCTCTCCGCACCCGTCTCCCATCTCTCCCCCCTCACCTATCAGCTCTCCATGCAGGCGGTGGTGGGTGCATCAGTGCAGCAGTGCACAGATGTGTCTTTTTGAGACGTCTCAAAAATACACTTTTTACACGAGCATCAGTGCACAGACGTGTCTCGCCGCACCTTTGGCTTCTCGCCGTAAGTTTGAGGTCCCCATCCCCGTCCCCACGTTCCCCTTTCCTCCTTCCTCTCTCCCCTTCCCATCAGCTGTCAATGCAGGCAGTGGTGGGTGCAGCAGTGCAGCAGTGCACAGATGTGTCTTTTTGAGACGTCTCAAAAATACACTTTTTACACGAGCATCAGTGCACAGACGTGTCTCGACACACGTTTGGCTTCTCTCCCTGACCTCACCTCTCTCCTCTCTGCCTCCCATCTCTCTCCCCATCAGCTCTCCATGCAAGCAGTAGTCCAAGCAGCAGTGCACAGATGTGTCTCGCTGCACCTTATGCGTCTGCCCTCCTGTCACCAAGTATACGTCCGTCCCCCCGCCCCTCTCCCCCATCAGCTCTCCATGCGTGCAGTGGTGGAAGCAGCAGTCAAGCCGTGCACGGACGTCTCTCAACGCACCTTCGGCTTCTGCCCTGAGTTCACCACTCTCCTCTTAACCCCCCACCCGCAACAGCTCTCCATGCAAGCAGTGGTAGAAGCAGCAGTCAAGCAATGCACGGACGTCTCTCAACGCACCTTTGGCTTCTGCCCTGAGTTCACCACTCTCCTCTTAACCCCCCACCCGCAACAGCTCTCCATGCAAGCAGTGGTAGAAGCAGCAGTCAAGCAGTGCACGGACGTCTCTCGCCGCACCTTTGGCTTCTGCCCTGAGTTCACCTCTCTCCTCCTCTTAATCCCCCAGCCGCAACAGCTCTCCATGCAAGCAGTAGTCCAAGCAGCAGTCAAGCAGTGCACAGACGTCTCTCAACGCACATTCGGATTCTGCCCTGAGTTCACCGTGCATGGGGATGTGCACTCCACTCCACCTTCTGCTGCTCCCCTTCCCCTCCCCCCATTCCACCAGCTCTCCATGCAAGCAGTGGTCCAAGCAGCAGTCAAGCAGCGCACAGATGTCTCTCGCTGCACATTTGGCATCTCACCTCCCTCTTGTCATCCCTCCCTCTGTCTCCCTTGTCTCCCCTCTCATGTCAGCTCTCCATGGCAAGCAGTGCACAGATGTCTCTCGCTGCACATTTGTCTCAGCAGTTCCCCTTCCCCCGTTCTCCTCGCTCCACCCCTTCCTTCCAGCTCTCAATGCAAGCGGTGGTCGAAGCAGCGGTCAAGCAGTGCGCGGACGTGTCTCGCCGCACGTTCGGCTTCTGCCCTGAGTTTGACGTGCATGGGGATGTGCACTCCACCTTTGCCTACGTGCCGGCACACATCGAGTACATGCTGTTCGAGATTCTCAAGGTGTGTGTTGAATAAGCACGTGCTGAGTCAGTGTGCGATGCATGGATCATATCTGTATGTGCATTATGTATGTGCACGTGCTACATGTGTGCTCTGCCCTGAGTTTGACGTGCATGGCGATCTGCACTCCACCTTTGCCTATGTGCTGGCGCACATCGAGTACATGCTGTTTGAGATTCTCAAGGTGTGTTGAGCCAGAATGTGCCATGTATATGGATGTGCATATGTGTGTATGCGCGGTGACTGTGAGTTTGACGTGCATGGGGATGTGCAATCCACCTTTGCTTACGTGCCGGCACTCATCGAATACATGCTCTTTGAGATACTCAAGGTACGTTTGTATATATGTGTATTCTTAATCAGTGTATGCATATGTGTTTTATGTTGTGCCCTCGATTCAGCATGCATGGGGATGTGCACTCTACCTTCGCATACGTGCCGGCACACATCGAATGCATGCTTTTCGAGACCCTGTCTACTTGTATGTGTGTTCACTCAGTGTGAGCCGTGTCTACTTGTATGTATGTCCACATGTATATATGTGTCATGTGAATCAGTGTATGCATATGCGTGTATGCTGTGAGCCTGAGTGCACCGTGCATGGGGATGTGCATTTTATGTTGTGCATACATCAGGTACGTGTGTCTCAATCAACCCATAGAACGCATCATCGAGCAATGGTGGCGCATTGTGTGAAAAGGCCTACGAGGAGGTCAAGTCATTCTCTTATGTGGCCTTCCCCTCTTTGCTTCACTTCACTCACACCCTCTCTCCCCCCACTTCCCACCTTCCGCCCCACCTCCCTCTACCAAAGCAGATCGCGAGCAGTGGTGGAGCCTTATCTGAAGAAGAAGCCTCACGAGGGCAAGTCATTCTCTTATGTGGCCTTCCCCTCTTTGCTTTCCTCGCACCCTATCCCTCCTCTCATTCTTCTCTGATTTGCAGAACGCATCGCGAGCAGTGGAGCATCGTCTGAAGAAGGCGCACGAGGAGGGCAAGACAGCCTCTCATGTGATCTTCACCTCTTTGCTCCCCTTGCACCCCTCCCTCGGATCGCATCACGAGCAATGCAATCCCTCAAAACACCTTCCCTGTTTCCTTCCTTTCACTCCTGTTTCCTTCCTTTCACTCTCTATCTGCAGAACGCATCGCGGGCAGTGGTGGAGCATCATTTGAAGAAAGCTCACGAGGAGGGCAAGACAGCCTCTCAGGCGACCTTTCCTCCCGTTACAATCACAGTCTGCAGAGGTCACAACGAAAGCACAATCAAGGTATGCATATCTAAAAGCACTAGTGCCAATCTGGTTCTTATTTGATTTTTTCTTCTCCCGTTACAATCACAGTCTGCAGAGGTCACAATGAAAGCTCAATCAAGGTTCGGCTCTAGCAGGTTGTGTTAAGAAGAATCCTTGAAACCCCCACATGCAGTCACACTGACGTTCAAGTGCGAAATGTTTTGCAACTGGCCAACAGTGCAAGATGTGCTGATCCTTCCGGTTTGGTTGGGTTTGGTGTGGTGCTGGCAGGTGTCGGACCAGGGAGGGGGGATTGCGAACGAGCTAAAGGAGAAGGTGATGGGAGTGGTGGGAGAGTAGGGAAGAGGGGATGGGGAAAATGAAGGGGAGGAGGGGGGAATGGTTGACTTGAGGGGACGCCGGCTTTGGGATTCTTGAGAGAACGGCAGTGCTCCTTTCTGGAAGGAACGGGAGTGCTCAGAGCTCTTTGGGTGGGATTCTGCAATCGCGGCCAATCGATTTGGAGAGTAACAGAGGTCAAGTTCCTTTCCTGCACTGCACTGCTTCCCACTGTACCATCATCACCTCACTTAATCGCACTCTACCCCCTTGTACCACACTCCACCGCAATCTACCGCATGCTTCAGGTGTGGAGCTACGGATTCTCGTCCCTGGATGAGGATGCAGAGGCAGGGTCAGCTGCAGCTGCAGGTGCGTGTGGGGGTGGTGTGGGTGTGTTTGGGGGTGTGGGTGTGTGTGGGGGGGGGAGGAGGATGGTATTGTGGGTGTGCGTGGGGGGGAGGGGGGTGTGGGTGTGGGTGTGTGTGCGTGTGCACATGCGTGTGTCTCTGGATGAGGATGCAGAGGCAGGGCCAGCTGCAGCTGCAGGTGTGTGTGTGGGGTGGGGAGGGAGGAGAGTGGGGGGGGACGGGGGAGGGAGTGGAGAGGGGGGAGGGAAGGGGAAAGGGGGGTTGCGTGCGTGCATGTGTGCGTGCACAGATGTGTGTTGTAAACATGAACTATGTTTACATTTCCACAACAACATCTACCTTGCCTCACTCCTTGTGCGAAAATAGTTCTTTCACTGCTAGGATCTTTCCTGCAACCCCTCTGTACCCACTCCCGCTTCCCCCACTCCCTCGGCTTTCCCCCATCTCCAACCCCTCCCGACTCGTGTGCGACTTGGTTCAGAATACAATACTCTCCCCACTCTCTCCCCCTTCCTGCTTCTCCTCCCTCCTTCCTCTCTCCCCTCTCATGGCTGGTCTGGGCTTCGGCCTTCCCCTCTCCCGACTCATGTGTTACTCCGTTCAAAGCACACTCCCCATGACCACTCCCTCCCTCTCCCCATTCCCCTCTCCAGGCCCTCTCGACTCCCATGGCAGTCCCATGGCCCCTCCTCTCTCCCCATTTCTCTTTCCCCTCTCATGGCTGGTCTGGGCTTCGGCCTTCCCGTCTCCGATCCCATTCTCTTCTGCTTTCTCTGTTTTCGCATGTACACCCCTCCTCTCTCTCCATCCCCCTGCGCCAGGCCCTCTTGACTCCCATGGCAGCCCCATGGCCGGCCTGGGATTCGGCCTTCCCCTCTCCCGACTCATGTGTGGCTTTGCTCGGCACTCTCTGCACCACTCCCCACCCATCTCCACCACTCTCCCCTACCCGCCAGGCCCTCTTGACTCCCACGGCAGCCCCATGGCTGGATTGGGCTTCGGCCTTCTACTCTCCCATCGGATTCACCTCTGGTTGGCACTATCTGCACCACTCCCCACCCCCCTTTACCGCTCCCTCTTCCCTCCTCGGCAGGCCCTCTCGACTCCCACGGCAGTCCCATGGCTGGATTGGGGTTCGGCCTTCCCCTCTCCCGTCTGCATGCACAGTACTTTGGGGGAGACATTGAGGTAAGACGTACAATCCGAGAGTTATGTTGTTAAGTTCCACCAGAACTGGCCGGACTGGGGTTCGGCCTTCACCTCTCCCGTCTGCATGCGCAGTATTTTGGGGGGGATATTGAGGTGAGGTGGAGATTGGGTGTCTAATCTGGTTAGTTGCTGATTAACTTGCCTAATTTGTTCTGTCCTTCGATTCTTGTGACTGCATTGTTATGGCCCGTGCCATATTACCCTTGTCCCTCTTTCCCCCCACCTTCCCCTTCCTGTTGTCCTCTTTATGCAGTTCTTCAGTATCCCTGGTTACGGCACGGATCTCTACATTAGAGTGCATAGACTGGGCAATCACCAAGAGGAATTTGAGATCTGATCTTCAGTTAAGATTCGGCCAGCTGTTTCTGTAGGCAGTGAAGTTTACCTGCTTCCTGCTGTATACAGCACATACACAGTATGAAGTTCTTCAACCATTCTTTGCCAGTTCCAGCACTTCCTTTGTACACTGTACATTGAGGCACTAAACAAATACCGTATCTTACTGGCTCCTTGACCCATGCTGGAGGGTCCTTGGCTCCGTATTTCTGTGAACTTAGAAGTTCTATTGATTAGTGCCACTAAAGTTTAGCTGGAGTTTCTGTGCATGCTGGGGTGGGGAGTGCTTCTTTTTGGAAGCTTTTAGTGGGAAACTTAACAACGAACCAAGGTTCAAATTGCTTGCTTCTCCATGGTTGGGGGTGCGTTTCTCCTAGAAAGCTCTCAGGTTGAGACAAACAACACTGCACTTGCAGTACTACCGTCTACTGCACTACTTACAGGAGAAAAGCAAGACAAAACTCCTGAACACTTGGCCACTCCAACACAGCTCACTCATATTTCAGCCTCCCTTAGTGCAGACATTCACACTCTCTCCAACTGTCCTGCAAATCCATAACCCTGCCTTAGGTGCTCCTCGTGTACGTAACCAACAGGGTTACCATCGTTTACAATCCGACCTGCCATCATGATCCAGTAACCAGAAAATCCCATCATTTTTCATCTTCCCGTCCCGAGAATTTCGTGTCAAGGACAACTCTCGGTTGTGTTTCCGAGCCATCAGTGTCACGGAGACAGACTGAAATGCTCTTGGAGGGAAATCTGGCTCAGTTGAAGGGAAAACTTCCCGTTCTCACTTCCAACGTTCGCCTTTCACGCGGCCCGTGGAGCGAATCTCCCTGCTCCTCTGCCGATCAGCCTTCCGCAACTCCAGCTGCTTGTGGAACTTCTTAAGAACCCGTTCAGCTACGGCCTTGGATCCCTCGATTTGCTGTTCCAGGCGCGCCGCTTCCGCCTGCGCCTCGTCCCACTCCCACCGGTTGCACTCGTCTTGCTTGGGGGGCTGCGGGGGTTCCGCCGGGTGATCTGTCATGCAAACGGGCGAAAAGTAATCATTATTATAGGAATCTTCAAAGATATCCTGCAGAGGTATGCATAAGCTGTAAGAAATCAAATGAAATCGGGATATTGGCCCTCAAAGAACGTGTTCGCATACCTCGTTTGTAAGCGGCCTTCAGCTTGGCGCGCTGTGCCTTCGTCATGCGAGAAGTGCACTGTGACTCCCAGCCCTTGGATGACATGATTTCCGGGAGCTCTAAATCGACGGTCGCCATCGCTTCTGGAGGTGAGAGCCTGCTTGAAGACTTCCGAAGTCCTTTAAAAAAAAGTTCGTTCTATGAGCTGACTGTGCGGGGGAGACTAAGCCGGCTTCTGGGGGATAAGGCTTTCAAAAACCAAGATTATTCTAAAAGCTAATATACTCTGTGGCGCAGGTAGGAAAGTGAGTACTTTCTGTGGTGGTGGGTTGGGTAGATTTTGTGGAATCAACAGCTGAAAGAACTCCGAAAGCAGAAGACCAAGAAAGGAATGGGAAGTGTGATGGAATGGGAATGACTCGCACACCCTTTTATGCTGTACCCACCGACCAACCCAGCAATGCGAAATTGATGAATTTTCTCCCCATCAGCTAAGCGAGTCCGAGTCGCACCTCGGAAGCGCAGCGAAATAGGGTTTTGCGTTCCACACGCAAGAAAATTCGGTCGGCACTGTAGCCGGTTTCGTGATGATGGCTGGAGGTCCACGATACCAGATACAGTAGCGTGATTGGTGGTTCTTCCAGAAATTCTGGCGCCCTATACGCAACCGTGACTTTTGAAGACTGGATAAACCCGAACCTCTGTAAAACCCTGAAGTACCCGCTGTAAGGTCCATCGCTGATGGTGCTCAACATTTTTGCAAAGAGTAGCTTACAATTTCACAAATGGAGCGTTACTTGGAAGCAGCTGTTACGGGTGCAATGAATCGAGGTAGCGAGAATTGCACTAAGGTGTCAAACGAGTACAAAATGTGAGCGAAGGCATGAGCGAACATTTATACGCGAAACATGCAAAACGGTAACGCGGTGCGTGCGAACTTGCTAGTGCTACGCTGGAGCGAGGCTCGGGCTAGTCCCGAAGCGTAGGCCGATACGGCCATGCCAGCAGTGCGAGGTTTGGCAAAACAGTGCGCGCGAAGTCGGCGAAGTTCCGTTAGCAGTAACGGGCGAATAATCGGCTGTTGCTGTACGCGATGTAGTCGGCTCCGTAAGGAATGCCGAGAAAATTCCTTACACTACCCCCCCCCTTAAGAAGCCCCCTCCGCTACGCGAGTGCGTGTATATCGCGGAATCCTCGGCTTCTCAGGTACACTTGCAGGGCAGGGTGATTTTCGATGTTGCTCAGGGGCACCCAGCTATCTTCAGTTGGCGTGCGGTCTTTCCAGCGAACGAGGAATTCAATCCTCCTGATTCCCGTGGGGTGGCGGATCCGATGGCTCAAGATTTTTTCGGGCTCGATGATCGGCTCTGATGCAGGGCGAGTCATTGATTGTGGCCGGTGACGCGGTAGTTGACTCGTGGTCGGGATGTATGGGCGAAGTAGGCTGACGTGGAACGAAGGGCTGATGTACCAGTCAATTGGCAACAGTAGGTGCGCGGTGACAGGTGTGATCATGTGACTGATTTGGAATGGTCCACAGTAGCGCGGTCGTAATTTTGGTACGTCGGGCAGTCGCAGATTTTGCGTGTCGAGCAGCACGTAATCTCCAGATTGGTACGTGACAGGGCGGCGGTGGCGATCAGCGTTGCGCTTAGGGTTGACGTTGGCCTTTTTTATTGCTTCGGCGGCTCTGGCGCGGGCAGCTTGCAGGATTTCGGCGAATTGTTGTGCACGTGGCGTTGGGTTGTCCGGACTCGGCGTCATGGGCACTGTGGGGTTTTGCCCATAGTTCAGGTAGAACGGGGACTGCTGCGTCGTGGCTGATGTGGCGTTGTTGTACGCGAACTCGATCAGCGGCTGCTGCTGCTCACAGGTCGTGGGGTCGTCGCACGTGGCACGGATCAACTGCTCAATCGTCTGATTCGTCCGCTCCGTTTGGCCGTCGGTCTCGGGGTGGTACGACGAACTGAACTGTAGCCTGGTCCCGAACTGCTCCCAGAGGTTCTTCCAGAAGTTGCTGGTAAACTTCGTGTCCCTGTCGCTGATGATTGCTGCTGGTATCCCGTGCAGGCGAACAACGGCTGCGATGAACAGGCGAGCGGTCTCCTCGGCTGAGATCGACTTTTTGCACGCAGCGAAGTGTGCCATCTTCGTCAACCTATCCACGACGGCCATCACCGCGTCGTTACCCCCAGGGTTCGAAGGTAACCCTGTGACGAAGTCCATGGTTACTTGCTGCCAGGCGCGTTCGGGCGGTGGGATCGGCTGCAATTGACCCGCCTTCCGCTTCCTTGAACTCTTCATCACCTGACACGTCGGGCACGAGCCCACGTGCTGCTGTACGTCGGTCAACAGCTCCGGCCAGTAATAATACCGCTGCAGTTGCTGTCGCGTTTTTTCGACCCCGAAATGTCCCGAGGTAATCCCGTCGTGTGCCTCCTGCAGTAGCAGCTCCCTCAGTAGTGAGTACGCGGGTACCCAAATGCGGTTGGTGCCTGTTTTTACGTAATAGACTCCTTTTGCTTCTGCCAGTTGCTGTGAATTTCCGGTCGTGAAAAATGGGTCGGTGCGGTATCCGTGGGTGAATAGGCCAGTTAAAAGCGGGTTGGTCTGGGCGAGTAGGATGGCGTGGAGTTGGGCGGTGGGGCGGGTGAGAGCGTCGGCGATGTTGGATGCTCCTTTTTTGTACGTGACGGTGTAGTGAAAATTGGACTCGAGATAGTCCAACCAACGAATCTGTCGTAGGTTGAGATTCGGTTGGGCGCGAAGGTACTGTAGCGAGCGGTGGTCTGTCCGTACTGTCACGTCGGCGCCAGTCAGGTAACATCGCCAAACTTTGAACGCGTGCACGATCGCTAGCATCTCGCGGTCGTGTATCGGGTAGTTGCGTTCGGGCGGGTGCAGTTTGCGGGACTCGAACGCGATTGGCTGGAGGCCATTCCCGAAGTCCTGCAACAGTACTGCTCCCACAGCGATGTCACTTGCGTCGGTGACGAGCTCGAACGGACGGTGGGGATCTGCAATGTGAAGGACGGGCGGGGAGCACAAAATATTTTTGAGGGCCGAGAAGGCAGCTTGCTCTTTCTCCCCCCACGTGTACTCAACCCCCTTCCTCAGCAGGTCGGTCAACGGGGCAGTCAGTTTCGCCATGTCGGGGACGAACCGGCGCACGTAGTTGACGAACCCCAGGAAACTCTGCAACTCGGTCAAGTTGGTCGGCGCGTGCCAAGCCTGAATCGTCGCAATTTTCTTCGGGTCTATTTCCACTCCTGCAGCTGAAATAACATGTCCCAAAAACTCCAGGCGGTCCTGTAAAAACTCACACTTCGATGCTTTGGTCAGTAGTCGGTTCTCACTCAGGATTTTAAAAACTGCTTCGATGTCGTGTAAGTGCTGTGCTCTGTCCGGGCTGTAAATCAGTATGTCGTCCAGATAAACGATGACGCACTTATCTAAAAGCGGGCGGAATGCTTCGTTCATGGTCATTTGGAAGGTGGCGGGGGCGTT